AAAAAATACTACTCTCAAGGCGTTACAAGGTCCCGAATACTTAAGCATAAGGTGTGAAGGGATGTGTTTAATGTCCCCGCCTTGAAGATCACTAACTTAAGGCTTTTTCAAGGTCCCTAATGCTTAAATTATTCACCCTTTCTTAACTACCCCTTTTTTTTCAATTTTTATCTTCTTTCGTGCATCATCATAAGTAAATATTAACACTTTTTTTTTTTGCAGTTTGACCAATGATTTTCTTCAAGGATTATACTTGCCCATCTTCTCAACTCAAATATCTCATCGTTGGAACAGAGGGTAGTACGGTGGAGACTAAGTTTTTGGTCCAGGATTCTTTTGTTGGTCGCTATGTTGATCCATGGCCACAATTGAGGAACACGCTTCATATGAGAAGTTGGACATTTGAATACGATCACAAATCTAATAAAGCCTCAAAAGTGTGGTATCTTGAGAAACCAAATCCTCAATGTACAAACATCGCGAGCACTCTTTCAAATTTAGGTCGCCACATGATTCTAGAGGAATTACATTGGGGAGACAACATTGTGCTTGAAGGTGAATATCACTGCATTCCGGGATACTGGGAATGGACAGAAGATGTCTTAAGCAAAAATGGGCAAAGTCTAAACAATGCTTGTATTTCTGATGCTGTATTTGCTTATCTTTTTACTTATGATCGAAACTCCAATATTATACAAGCCTTTTGTGAGGCTTGGTGCCCTCAGACAAATACATTACTTACATCTACCAGAGAAACATCCATATCTCTTTGGGACTTGCATATTCTAGGTAGTTTGCCAATTAGCGGAGTTCCTTACGAAGAAGTGATACCTAAATCCACGGAACTTACAGGTTTGGATGACAAGAGGGAAAGATTTATTCCTTGAACTTGTGAGTGTATGTTTGCTGCCTTTCATCATCTTAAAGAGAAAAATAATGGTAATATGAGGGTCTCTTTTAATGAATGGATACAATTTTGGTGCAAGAAAGATCTCAACTATGAGAAAGCTCCTCCAATGAAAGAGAAGAAATCTCGACGTCTGTCATCTACTCATAATCCAACAGGTGAGATACCTACTGAGATAAACATATGGTCAAGTACTCAAGAGATGGTATTTTCTAACCTTGAAGTGAAACACCAAAAATATGAGACTTATCTGATGACCTTTTTGTCATGTTGGTTATGTGACTTTGTATTTTCGTCTGAAGAAGGGAATTTCATTCGGCCTAAAACTTTCAAGATAGCAAGCTTAATGGCGAGCGGTAAAAGGGTTAGCCTTGCGGTTCCGGTCTTAGCAAGCATATATCATGGCTTAAATAAAAATTTCAAATTCTTCACAGTTAGACCATATAAGAGTCTATTTTCCCATCCACTATGTTTATTGTTGGCTTGCTTATTATCTCAAGACACACTATCCGCTTACTAGTGGACCTTCTCTTCCACGAATGGTGGTATATTCTGGGGAAGGTGCTACAAAGTACTTTGACAAAGATGAGGCAAGAAAACGTGTTCATTGGGGGGAAAGCATTGTATGGAATGCAACCATACTTAGTAGGCCTCACCCAACTTATTATATTGATAATGGAAAAGCACCAGAGTTGGAGCTAGCTTATTTTATGAGCCTTCGTTTTAATTATCTTCCATTGAGGAGGGGAGGTTCCTTTGACATTGAGCCATATAGTTCGCACCGATTTAGTCGCCAATTTGGTTTTCATCAAGATATTCCTGGCTATTTAGAAAATGATATTCGTGCTGAGTCGCTCGATGAAGGCCTTAGATATTAGCGCATTTTCATATCACGTGCAACTATGTCTAAAGCGACATTTCCTCCTGCGGTAACTTCCGCAAATAAGCTTTATACTACCCAATATTCATCTTGGTGGGAGAGATCCTATGGAATGGTTATTGAGAATAATTTGGATGTTATGGTGGAGAAAGCTGAGTCAGAATTTGTTACCCTTTTAGAAGACAAAAGTCAAGATATCGAGAAGACACTTTCAAAAGTCAAGACACCACTTGATCCCCAATATCAAAGTAAGAAACTTAACTCCTCTAAGGTATCTAACAAAGAAGTAGTTCATACTTCTACTGATAAAGAGAAATGTCCCCAATTTCTCTTCTCTAGTAAACGGGACCTTCAAGAAACAAGCAAAACTAGCAAGGATCGATGTTGGAAGAGGCAAAAGGGGTTGAACCATCCGGGGCTGAAGTTGTTGATTTAAGAGTCGTAGAAGTTCAGAGTGTCGATAGTCCTTCAAGATCAATGACAATTCAGAGTGACAAGGTTTACTTTTTTTTTTTTTTGAATAAAATGACTTGGCTAACCCACAATTTTCACTTGTAGGTTAACGCTGCCGGACATCCACTAGGGTCACCACATGAGATGCCACAAGTTAGCGATGAGTCTACTGCAATATCAAGACCTAAGGCAAAATCAATTTCAAATATTGAGCAAGAGTAAAATATATCTACTTCTCGTGGCCAAACTTTAAAAGGGTTGACTCCTAATTCAAATGAGCTTTCCCGAGTTCTTCCAAAGAGTAATGGAGCTATGTCTGTCTTCGAAGGAGAATGTGTTGTGTTCAACCATAAAAGGAAGTACATCTTGGGTCTTTGGGAAGAGATTTATGGAAAACTTTCCAGAACTTCTCTAGACAATATTTCATCTTACAAAGATGATATTTGTGAGATTTTCAAGGAGATGAGTGAGATGAATTTATTAGATCTTTCACCATTGAAGAGCTTGGCAGATTCTCTTTTTGATCATGCTACTTCTTATAATCTAGAACACTCTAATTTTGTTGACAAGGCGCATGAAGATAAGAAGATTGAGTTGATTTCTAATGCCAAAGAGCGTCTCGAATTGTTCAAAGTATAAGAGGGTGAGAAGGCAAAACATGTTTCTTCTAACAAGAAATCACTAAAGAAGGTTAAGCGGAAGCTAGCAACTTTACAAGGAGAGCGAGAGGGACTTGAAGCTGTTCTAGAATCTGCTAAGAAGAAGGTTGAGGAGATTCAAGCCAAGATTTTAGCTACAGAAGATGAGATATCCTCGTATGAAAATATGAGTTTATTAACGCTTGAAGATTCAATTCGTTTGGAACAGAAAAGAGAGTGCTTGGAGGCTAGTCATCAAGATTTGACTAACTACAAGTTATGCTTAGATTAGGCTTTTTCTTTGTGTTTCCCTTTATTTGTTTTCTTTAGCATTTGATTGATGTTTTAGACAATTTTATAGTAATGAAGTTCTTTCCTTTTCTTTTTTTATATCATGCATTTTTAATGCATAATCCAATTTGAATTTGCTCTTTAATTCTTGATCCCAAGCTTTTAGTAATTCAAAGTCATTCCATATTTTGCATGCCAATAAGAATGAATATAGTGCAAGTTCCACATTGTTTTTTTTTTTTCAAAGTTTGCACATTCAAATTTGCCTTATCAATTTTGTGGAATTTAATTCCTCAACTTGTAACAAGTTAATTTTAGGGCCTTAACTTGTAAATTCATAGAATTCGAAGATATTGACTTGTAACTTGGTTGATTTAAGAGTCTAACATGCAAACTTGTAGGACTTATCATATTACTTTGTCGAATTTGAAGACTTCAACTTGTATATATAGAGGATTCAAATACTTCGACTTGCATACTTGTCTGAATTTAAAGACTTCAAGCCTACTGTCAGAGAAGGTCATATTTCATAAGGGTTTGCTCTCATGTATTGATCATTCAATACTTCGTACAAGTCTACAATTTGATGAGACAAAAGATAAAACAAAATACTTATCGCTTTGACTGACATGTGACAGATCAAGTGGGAACATGTGTTTTTTTGACACTCATGCAACTGAACTTAGGATATATTCTAAGCGCCTACGTACCTCGGTGAAGAGGATCAAGTCACAATGTAGTTCTGGGGGATTGAGTGATTTTTTGTTGTTGTTGTGTCGTACACAGTTTATACTCTTGCGGGCCAGGAGTGACATGCAGTTTAGGCTCGTACATTAAGGAGCATCATCTTACTTCAAGGGTAGTATCTCTTTAGGAATTTTGCATTAATAGGACCGATCCTTACGCCATCTGCATCAACAAGCTTGTAAGCACCATGTGAATATGCTTCTTGTACAACATACGGTCCATCCCACTTTGAGGTAAATTTGCCCCCAGATTTGTGCAAAGTAATGATGGGTCTTCTTACTACGAGAATTTGGTCTCCAACTTGGAAACACCTCAAGCGAACTTTCTTATTGAAAGCACGAGATAGACGAGCTTGATAACATTCAAGGGTTTGTTGGGCTTCTAGCCTCTTTTCGTCAAGTGCTTCTAACTCAGCAAGACGCAGTCGAGCATTTTCTTCTTCAGTGAGCCCTTCTTGAATAACAAGTCTTAAGGAAGGTATTTGTGGCAGGACTGCTTCAACTCCGAAAGCAAGTGAATATGGTGTTGCTTGAGTTGGTGTGCGGTATGTTGTCCTATATGCCCACAAAGCTTCTTCCATTCTTTCATGCCAATCCCGTTTGGACTTGGAGACAACTTTCTTGAGGAGGTTGCATAGAGTCTTATTGAATGCTTCAACAAGACCACTGGCAACAACATGATACATAGAAGATTTACGCTGCTTGAAGCTAAAGAGATCACAAATTTTGTTCATTAACTTGTTATCAAATGGCTTGCCATTGTCCGTTATTATGTAGCGAGGGATGCCAAAGCGATAGATAATATTTACTCGGATAAAATTTGCAACATTCACTTTCTTCACTTCTTTAAGAGCAACGACTTCAGCCCATTTTAAGAAGTAATCTGTTGCAGCCAAGATGTACAAGTGTCCACCAGAAGATTTTGGTAGTGGTCCCACAACATCCAATCCCCAAGCGTCAAATGGCCAAGATGCGATAGTTGGGTGCAATACTTCAGGTGGCTGATGTATGAAATTTGCATGAAATTGACAAGCATCGCACCTCCGAGCATAATCTAAGCAATACTTCACCATGGTTGGCCAATATTACCCCATCCTCTTTATATGAAAGTGGAGGTTCGATCCAGATTGATGTGATCCACATACTCCTGAGTGTGCTTCTTGCAGAGCTTGAATTGCTTCTTCCTCTCCCAAACATCGTAATAGTACATCCTCAAATGATCTTCTATATAATGTGTCCTTGTAGTAAAGGAAGCGAGGTGCACGACGACGAATGTCAGTCCTTCTCCTTGTTTTTTCTGGAAGTATCCCATAACACATGTAGTCAATAATGGGTTGTCTCCAATCTTCCTTTACGGCTTCAGAAATGGAAATGAGATGCTCAAGCTCATTTTCTATATATTCTTCCTCATGTGACGGTGGTACTATCCATCTTTGACAAATAGTAACTTGTGTTTGATCAGGAAGGGTTAGCGTTGAAGCCAGGGCAATCAATGCATCAACTTTCTTATTTTCCATTCTACGCACATGTTGAAGGGTTACATCACCAAGCCATCCTATCAACTTTTGAGCATAGTCATGATAAGGATGCAATTCGGGCTTCTTCACCTCATAACTTCCCAAGAGTTGGTTGATAACCAACTGAGAGTCACCAAAGACTTGTAAGTGTAATTGCTTCATGTCGATGGCCATCTCAAGTCCAAGTATCAACGCTTGGTAATCAGTGACATTATTAGAACAACATTGCTTCAAAGTAAAGGAGAATGGTAGAATCTCTTCTTGCAAAGCGATGAACACTACACCAGCGCCAGCTCCGCCACGATGTGCAGCCCCATCAAAGTACATTTTCCAAGGATGTTGAATTTCAATAGACATCGCATCTTCATCAAGAAGATCATTAGTTAATTCCCAATCATCGAGTATCGGATGGTCTGCCAAGAAATCCGCTAATGCTTGTCCCTTCACAGCTTTCTGAGGGATGTACACAATTTCAAACTGTTGGAATTGGAAGTACCATCTTGCTAGTCGATCACTAAGGAGAGGTTTTGACATAACAAACTTGATGGGATTTTCTCTAGAAATGAGGTGGACAACATGCGCTTGAAAATAATGCTTCATCTTTTGAATTAAGAAGACAAGTGCCAAGCACAACTTTTCAATTGGCGAATAGTTCAGCTCATTCGGTGTCATCATTCTACTTAAGTAATAAAGAACGTTTTCTTTGCCTTCACTATTCTCTTGAGCTAGCAGGGCTCCTACAGACCTTTCTTGTGCCGCAATGTAGAGTATCAATGGCTTTCCAGGTATAGGGGCTGCCAAAACCGAAGGTTTCGCTAGATACGATTTGATACTTTTAAAGGCATCACTACATGTTTGATCCCAATTAAAAGGAGCACCTTTCTTCATGAGATGACTGAATGGTTGGCATCTTCCCGCTATATTTGAGATGAATCTCCTCAAGTAGGCTAACTTTCCTTGGAGACTTTTTAACTCATGAATATTTTGAGGCTTAGGCATCTTCGATATTGCATCAACTTTGGCTTAATCAATTTCAATTCCTTGATGCCTCACAATAAAGCCAAGGAACTTGCCAGAAGTAACTCCGAAGGCACATTTCAATGTGTTCATCCTTAGTTGATATCTTCGGAGCAACTCAAACACCATTCTTAAGTCTTTCAAATGATCACCCCTCTTTCTCGACTTTACCACTAAGTCATCAACATATCATTCAATATTTTTATGGAGCAAGTCATCAAATATATTTTGCATAGCCCTTTGATATGTGTCACCAACATTCTTTAAAACAAATGGCATCACTTTGTAGCAATAAATACCCTTAAGCGTGCGAAATGCGGTGAGTTCTTCATCCTTTAGAGCCATGCGGATTTGATTATAGCCAGAAGAACCGTCCATGAACGACATCGCCTCATAACCAGTGGTGGCATCAATCATCAGCTCTGGAATGGGAAGATGAAACTCATCTTTAGCGCATGTATTATTAAGATCTCTAAAGTCAACACATACTCGAATTTGACCATTCTTCTTCCTTACAGGAACAATACTTGAAATCCATGTAGGATATTTGACCTCACAAATAAAGCCTGCCTCAATGAGTTTGTTAACTTCATTTTCTATCAATGGAACCACGTCTGGCCTAAAGTGTCTTTGAGCTTGCTTAATAGGACGAGAACCATTTTTTACTGCCAACTGATGGACCGCTACTTTAGGATTCAATCCAGGCATTTCTTTATAACTCCAAGCGAAGAGATCTCTATATTCTTTGAGTATATTCATATAAGTGATTTCTTCATCAACTTCTAGAAAGGCACTCAGGTAAGTTGGCCTTGGGTCTTCATCAGTGCCAAGGTTAACTTCTTTCAAAGGATCTATTGTGGTCTTTACTCCTTCTTGAAGTTCCGGTGGAGCATCTCCAACATCTTCCTCTTCTAAAGGATCATTGTCATTGACAGATATATGACAACACCAGTTAATTATCTTCTAACTCTTCATCAATCTTCATTTGAGGCAAAGAATCGTACCCATTTTGCATTGTAATATGATTTGAGGAGGCTACACTTTCTTCATCTTTCTCGCGCTCCTTGGTGTAAACCATAGTGTGAACCTTTGCCTTGAGTTCCTCTTTACATGAAACTACAAGTTCCCCTCGTCACCTCATTCTAGAAGGAATAAAACTTTTGAAATCCTTTCGAACCAAATGTGAAGCAGGCGTTGTAACTTTTAAATAACTTCTCAGATTCTTGTTTTTCTTCGATGGACCTAACCTCTCAAACACAGAAGTTCTTGCAGTAGATTCTCTAAGTCGATCAAAGACGGAAGGCTTTTTGTTGGGAGTAGCGACATTATCTTCAAAATTTATATGGTTGTTGCTTGCCCTTCTTATGGAAATGCGAATTGGCGGCGGTTGGCTATAGCCTAGGCCTTCACGAGTTCATGTGCTTGCCTAGTTGTATCTTCTGATACAAGTTTCCCTAACATTGATGGCTCATTAGGGTTGTATCCAGCCTTCACAAATAACTTGTAAGCATTGGGATCAAAACCTTCTCTTGTGCGTTTTGTAGGGAGCGCCACATCTCGTACATAATTCTGAGAGATTGACTTTTCTGGCAGTTTTGAAGACAAGTTTATTGCATCAATCCGTCTGATAGAAAGAGTTAGCCCTCTCAATATATTTTCTTGAAGGTTAGATGATTGACCTTTTTCTTTCTTCACTTTTGGAACATAGCAAAGTCTAGAAGTCAACTTCTTCTTTGAAGACATGATCTTCCCTTCATTAAGAATGGGACAAAGTTGTTTAGCGTCAACGTTTACCTTTCCTACTGCCGCATCGATTCTTTTGCTTATGAACTTATCGGACATGATTGGTTTTACATCATTAGATTTGGCCCCTTTAACAACATAACTTTTCAAATAGAATTTCGCATCGGCAAAGTGTATCTCAACTTCGGTGAAAGGATTATCATCTGCAACTAACTTCCTTTCAATACCGCCTCCAAGATACTTCAAACATTGATAGTAAGAAGATGAGACAATTCTATTCTCATGTACCCAAGGTCTGCCAAGTAATAAATTGTATGACGTCTTTGCGTCGATCACATGCATCCATGCGCTTGATCGCAAATCTTCCATGTGGATCTCTAATTTAATAGAGCCTATGGACCTCTGCCCCCCTTGATTAAATCTTTGTATCAACAGATGACTTTCACTAAGTTCTCCAGTCGTGATGCCGAGTTTCTTCAATGTGTGGATAGGCAGAATGTTGACTCCAGATCCTTCATCTATTAAGATTCTATTTATCTTCTTCTCTAGCACGTGACCCACCATATACAAAGGACGACTGTGTAGTGTTTCACCGAATAGAAGATCATTATCTATAAATGTGATTTTTGTATCACATGCATGTGCTTTTTGGGAAGAAGGTTCAATAGGTGTTTTAGAAGGTGAAAGAGACATCATTGACGAGATTTCCCTTGTTGTTTTTTCATCGTCATTAGGAGACACTTTTGGTGAGGATTCACTCGTTGTTCCTTCTTTGTCAGCAGGAGGCACCTTCATTGTTTCTGCTTTATCAGCATTGAAACATGATGCCTCGACATTGTCTTGAGTAGATTTTATATCGAACGAACTTGGTAAGAATTCCTCTAGAGTGATAGGATGTCGGGGTTTTTGGTAGTGATGCACTTCTACCTTTGCCCTCTTTGGGCGCTTGATTGATTTCTACTTCTCCAATTACTTCACCATTTTCCCTCTAATCGATTGCCCGGATGATTCTTTTCGTAAGCTTGACTTGTTGCGTCTTCACCTAGTTACAAGAATCCAGCCTTCGTCACCATCTATATCAACATCCTGCTCCAATGACTCTTCGTCATGCTTTTCAGAGATATATATTTGGACCGGATCGAGTGATCCGAACGTGATAAAGATCTGGTTAGAACTAGCCTTCTCATCATCAAGGACAATTTTCTTTTCGTTAACCAATCGCATCACTCTATCCTTGAAGACAAAACATTTTTCGAGAGGATGACTCACAAGTCTATGATACTTGCAATAATTTGGGTCATCAGGTTTTCCAGCTTCATTGGGTCGCTTTATTTCTGGCAAGTCAATGAGCTTTAACTCGAGCAACTCATCAAAAATCTCAGAAATGTCAAAATCCAAGAAGGGATATTTTTTCCTTGCATCTCCCTTAGTGTCGACTTTTGATTTGAACGTGCTTGGAAAGTCGTTCTCACATTTTGCTTCATGCCCTCATTCGTAGTGATCTTCGCAGGCGACACATTAACATTCATGGATTCTTTATTGTCATTTCTAGGCACAAATTTACTCCATCTCTTGGGTTCCTGCTTGTCGCTTCCTTTGCGAGGGTCTTAGACATACGTCATATCATTTCTAGCTGAGGATATGCTTAACTCCATATCATGAGCGTGAGTAGCTAGATCTTCGAAGGATTTTGGTTTTATTCCTTGTAAGATGTAAAGAAGCTTCTAGTGCATTCCTTTAATACATATTTCGATTGTAAAAGCTTCACTAAGCCTATCCTTGCAATTTAGGCTCGCGTTCCTCCATCAATTTATGAAATCTATAACCGGTTCATCCTTCCTTTGGCGAGTATTTGTGAGTTCTACCATGCTCACCGTACGCCTTGTGCTATAGAAGAGATTGAGAAATTCGTGCTCTAGTTGCTCCCAACTATCAATAGAATTAGGTTCGAGATCTGTGTACCAATCAAAGGCATTTCCTTTTAGAGAGCGGACAAACTGTTTGACGAGATGGTCTCCATAGGTTCTAGCATTATTACATGTCTCCACGAAGTGTGAAACATGTTGTTTTGAATTTCCTTTACCCTCAAATTGTTGAAATTTGGGAGATTGATAACCAGCAGACATTTTGAAGTTATCAATTCTTGCAGTGTATGGCTTGACATACATGTGAGAAGACTTGGTGGAGACTTCATACTTATCTTTGATAGTGCCTTCAATAAACTCTTTCAAGCGATCAAATGAGATCTTTCCTTCAGAAGAAACTGGCATCTCATTAACAAACGGTCCTTTCTTCGCAGTATCTCCTATCTCTTGAACTTCAACACCCTTTCCAGGCGGATGTAAAAGTCCTTCCATCCTATCCATCAACTTATCAATTCGAGACTCTTGGTGTTGTACATGCTTTGTCAATCCTTCAACCAACTTTGTCAGATTTTGCGAGTTGTTCCTCAGGAGAGGAAGCAACAGTTAGCATCGTTTGCATGATCATTGGAGATGTAGGAGAGTAGCATGGATTGTCGCGTAAGTTAATCTTCAGCGGACTCACGTTATGCGACGCATATGGAGATGATTCATTAGTTGAATCATAGTTCTCCCTTGTGGTAGAATTCTTGGAACCAGATTGCTCAAGTAGAGCCCATGTCGCCTTGATCTTTTCAGTAATACTGCTTCCTCCTTCCGAAGCATTTGTGGAGGAACTTGCTCTCTTTGGATTTGAAGACCCAAAAACAGGAGTTGATGCGGACAACACTTGCAGTGTTTGTTGTCCTAACGTAGCAGCTTTCTTTCTCGTAACAACTCCAAAACTTCCAAAGGTAACATCAAGAATGCCTTCAACTTCAGTAGAGAACTTAGAGCTAGTGGCCTTAGAGGCAGTTGATCGAGAGTTGTTCTTCATGGAAGTCATCTTGATGTTGTTTGATGCTTGAAAAGTTGAGATGAAAGGTAGAGATTGTCCCACTGGGCATGCTAGAATTTGTAGACAATAAAATTCGCGTCGAGAAAACAATAATCAAGAACGGAAAATTATAGCAACAATTGTATTTATTATTTCAAAGTGCGAGTGTTACAATCTCTATAATTCCTCTGAATTCACCTTTTCAAATATGAATTCAAGGGTTTTAAAGCTTGTTCTTGAATCTTCGATGGATTTGAACTTTGAACTTTATCTTGATCTTGACTTTTACTTGAATTCAAGGGCTTTGAGCTTGTTCTTGAATCCGATGGTCTTGATCTTGA